ATTATCTATATTATAAATTATATAATACACACTTCATACAGCACAGAAGCTGAATAATATGTTTAAATATTTGCTATTTTTTTCCTCGCTAAAGCAATGCTGTTTAGTCTTAGTTTAAATAAGTTGCATTCATTTTTACATACAAATATACAATGCAATAGATTGAGAACAAAATTTATTTCATCAAAATAAAAATAAAACTATTATTTATTTATCATATTTTTTAAGCCAGAAAATCAGGATACTATATTATCAACACTCTCGCCGACAGCAATTTCTACTTGTTTCAAAAACCGCAAACATCAAGACCAAAACTAAATGGTACCTCGACTAATCGAAGATTCAAGCAAAACCGGTCGAATGAGGTTATACATCACCACAGTGTTATTATTTTATTCATAGTTTTCTTCCGTTATAAACTGTGATTAGTTAGTATAAAGTGAATACTGTACAATTACAATGTACGAGTAATAAAAATCGTATAGGAAACAAAATACGAGAAAGCAAATTAATAGTTTTCGTCAACATACTTTAAATAATTTAAGAAATTTTTGATTTTGACTAAAGCGAATTTTATATTCAAAGTCTTCAAATGATTGCAAAAAAAAAACACAACATTATAAGAACCGATTTCAAAAGATGAATAAACAAAACATTCTTATAAGTATACAAGCTAAGTAGTCCTTATTTATTGGTGTAGAAAATAAAGGTAAACAATTTTTATAAAACCCTCTCTCAGAATTTTATTCATTAATGTAATAATTTAGTTTTGGTCAAATTTGGTAAACATAGCTCACTTTCATCATGTGCCACTAATAAAAAGTCGAATAATTGTCAAAAAACTAACTTTTTTGGTAGGTTTAATTCAATAAAAATGTATACATGTACATTTCATTATGTTCTTTTATTTTAGATCTTAATATTAAATATAAAAACGTTTTAAAATAATTGCTGGGTAATCTATAATTTTCAAGAATAATTATTAAAATACTCAATTATTTATTTATTTAAGAAGATTGATCTTTTATGATTATTCAAATATATTTGACATTTTCACAATAATTGGTTTAATATACGATAAAATGTAATCAACATTTATTTAGTTACACAACTAACTATAGTAAAATACTATTATATTATTCTTTTTTTATTAAAGTCTAATGTTATCCTTTTGTGGCACGTGAAAGCGGCGAATTATCGTTCTAAAAATTAAAATGTTACCAATTAATTTCTTATAGTAATATAAAAATTCAAAAAAAAAATAAGATCCCTTAATATATTATATAGATAATAAGTGGCTTACCGTCAAATCCGACCACACTTTCGAAACAATTACATCACAAATAATATAAGAATATTATTTGAATGTTTTAATTTAATTTATTATATAGCCACATAAGGTATACCAATATAGTTATCGGATTAACCAAAAATATAATATCGTAATCAGTGATTACAACTGCTTTATTCTTTTGTCAACGCATATTTGATTTATTGCTTTCACATATCGAGTGAGTTAGCTTATGACTGGCGTAAGGATTGCCGATTTAGTCACTCTACACGGAAGGCAAAGTCTCTCGATTTCTACTCAGTGTTTTATAATAGTATCCAGCCATAGTAATCATAATATAATATTATAATATGTGTAATGTGTATGTTATGTGTGCGCGCGCATCACGTAGGACCGTACGAGAACGGATGAATCGGTTCATTCACGAGATGAAGATTTTTTTCTCTTACGCGTGACATTATAATTTTAATATATATTATGTTATACATATCTAAGGTATACTGTACATAATACAATATGTATTAAACAGTAATAATAATATTAGATCCTTGATCAACAACACACACGCGTATGTAGAAAATTCTCAGTGTGTTCTATTGTCGCGTCGTTAGTCCGTTTCAGTTTTATGGGAGAGCGACTTATAGCCAAACCGTAAACTATAATACAACTATATCATAATGGTAGGTATATAATATGTACCTGTATAGTGTAATGGCAATGCATTTGTTATTAATTCGTGGACTGCCAGTGACGTAATGACAGCGCGAATACGATTGCGACAATGGTCGGGTTTCTAGTGATAATAATAATAATAGTAATGTACATAGTTTTTCGAACGGAGAAGGAAACACGGCTCACGAATGTATTATTTTATTATTAAAGACACTCGTGTATATATAATATTATATATATTATGTAGTACAGCAAATAATAATAATATATTATGGGCACAAGTCGCCGCCGCCTCGTGTTCTGTTATAACGCACTGTGAGGAGTGAAATCGAAATTAAAAAAAAAAGACTTACATTCGTATTAATAAACGAAAAATTCTTGTGTGCCATACAGACTAACTAGACGGTCATGCAAAGTGAATATGTGACAACGTAAATAGAGCATGGACGACCGAGAAGTTATTATAATGCATTTAAGGTAGGTACCTAATAATGATTATAATAAACGTCGTGCGCGCATATGTACTCGCATTAATTTATCAGGAATAGTACAATGGTGTCGGTGGCGTAATCACTGGGAAGGTGTTTTACCGATCTCCATCTTTTCTTCTTTGTCATTAAGTTATATTTGAGAGTATTCTCGTCAAATGATACATTTTATTCGGTATCGGTCTAAATAATTATCGTGATATAATAATATATTACAAAGGAAGTAATAAATAAAAATATACATTTTAGCCTCCCTCTCCCAGTCTTGATTGCGCTGCTATAGATACCTAACCAATGACATCCACATAAATTTTAACCAGAGAGGGAGCCAAACCAAACATGTTATAATATAAATACTATTTTACGTTTCCGTATTATGAGCATAATTAATTGCAATGAGCTCGGAAAAAAATCATTTTCATCGCATAAAATACCACACCAGCACAAAAAATTTGTTTTTGAGTTTATATTTTTTAACATTAAATTATTACTTAGTAAACAATAATATTTTCTCTGAAAAAAATGGCTTCTATAAAAGCATGTATTTATAAAAAATATACCCTCTTCAAACAACAGTACAAAAAATTGGAGGATGGAGAGGGGCAGGGGCATAGCTACTTCTGAACCCCCTTACGGTCACCCTTGTACCTATATTATTGTTATAACTTGTATTTTTACGTCATTCTGTATATAGTATAAGCTAACCTAAGGTTCAACGAGAGTGATCTAGGGACTCTTCGAGCATATCCAAATCCAATATTATAATTTAAATTGTAATGACACCATATCATGATTTATCTTTTTATTTAAATTTCTGGTTTTTAGAACTTTTTAAACAAAATCGTTTGAGAACCACAGCAAAGCACGTATAAAAATACATAGTGTAAAATGTAAATATATCAGAATATTTCGCAACGACTTTATCAGTAATCGCGAAAATTTCACAACCGGTCAAAAATCGGGACATTGAAAAAAATCTAATTAATAATGTTGTATCATCATCACAAAAGATAAACATGTGTATAATCATTATAATCATATTTATTATATTATAGTGTATTACTGTATGATACCTACATCCCAATTTCTCACGCTACTGCGATCGTATATTATTATACTATATTATATATATATATAATTAAAATATTCATTAACCTCGCTTGTTTGCGGATTGAGATACTACTACAATGGATCGTTTATATATGTGTGATTTTGTTTTTGTTTGTTTGCCGCGAGACATTGAAAATTCGACGTTCGTCTTGACGAGTTTACGAATAGCACAAAACTTTTGCATAATGGTTTATGACTCGCACCTATATTGTTATTATTAATCGTAATGCTATAACACGCGTTTAACGGTAAAGTATGATATTGTTGTAAATAGCTGTTATTTAGATGTGATTGAACCCGCGACGAACAATTTATATCCGTCTTAGATGATCGATGAAACCGTCTGTAATGACGTCAGCTCCTTGGGTGTAAAAACCGAATTTTGATAAAAATATACAATAAATGTATAGTAATTCACTCTAAATATGCTCACTACTATTTTTTTTATTTAACAATGAGTTTATTCAAATTCTGATTTTAGGAATTTTTAAATATCATATTTCAAGGACAATATTTTCAAGTACAAAAATAGATTATTATCTAATTCATAAGGAGTGCTCTTTGTTTAATGCAAATTTAAGATGATTAAAGAATATTATACATTCTATTATAATAGTTAGCAAATACAACAGTTTTCTGATTATATATACTCTATTTGAATACTGATAAATAATATACTTACATTTAAAATAATGACAAAATTCACAGTTTAAATGCTAGTAAAATTTAAGGTGCACTGTATTCTTATTTCTTACAGTTATTTAATTGAGATGATAATAATGTCTTGACAATATTACATTGTTAAATCTGTTAAATCTTCATTTGACATTCCTTATTACACATTTATACTTGAGTTTTTGCATTAATATTTATACATATTATACATACCAATTTCTAAATATGGTATAAACATTTGTGTAATTAAAATATAGTGTACCTATACATATACTTAATATGCAAATAATAAAATATAATATCAATATTTATACTATTTCACGTTACTGTTTATAATAGTGATATGAAAAGCGGGTAGGTAACAAAACAATATAACTAAATAACACAGTAGCATTCTATTTTACTTTAGCCTCATACTATTCAACCCAATTCCAATGCAAATACAATACACAACCATTTAAACGAGACTGTATTTCACAAATTATTTGTATTATTATTTTTTTTCATATTTTATAAGAATTCGTGTGAATGGTTATTTTTTTACCAATATTCGATTTTTCTGTAACCTGTGTTTATAACAAAAAAATAAACGTGACTAGTAACCCGATAAACCGATTTGACTGCATCGAATTTTCAAAATACCCTTATATATATGACATTTTATTATACTACCTATGTTTATACCTGTATACATATCTACTTCGGAAACGTCTGGTTTAATACTTTTCATAATAAAATATTATTATATCGGAAACAATATTTACCCGCTGGAGGCCTGTCCTTGGGATAGCATATTCTAAAGAGACCCTTCGTCCTTGTAAAATAGAAATATTTGTTCATTTGTTCGAGTACTGAAGTTTGACTACGCTGATTAACGGCATTCTGAAAAAAAAAAATATAATAGATACAAATTAAAACACTGTGTTAAGGTTATACATTTAAAAATTATACATGTTCTATTTAGTTGTAACATCATCATCTTAAAATTAACATTTTAAAAAATCACAATGCACGTTGTAAAATTCAGCTTTTCTTAATTGGAAATTATAGTTTATACTTTGCATTATTACTGCTGCTCTTCAAGCCATAAATTTCAAAACAACACGGTTCAATTATTGTGCGCACATCGCGTTTGTTATATACACTGGAATTAATAATATATACCTATTATAGTATCGACTGAGTATAAATTAAATATACGGCCCAGTAAAGTATTTTACAGCGAGATGAAATGTTCGCGTATATTCATTACACCTATTTTATAATCGCATTAAGTTTTAAAAATACAATAAAATAACTGTATTTTTATACGCGTTCCTGACGACCTTCGTATGTTATAAACAAACTGATTTACAATACAGCTTTAATGGTCAGAATTACGTACGTTCTAAATATTCTAAAAATATTACGTAGAAAGTAATCATTCAAAGACGCTTAAAAGGATATTATGTTATTATTTTTAAGAGCGAAATTAGTAGGTATAGTGCCCAAGCGGAATACAGCAGAATGAGGGTACTTACCTATCAATTAACTCTATAATATAATAATATAGTCGTAAGGCGATGCACTTACATTTGATTATTTGCACATTATTTTACTGATTTCTCATTTTCTAGAAATGGTTATCATACGTAATTAATTTATTATTCGATGAAATCGACCCACTTTATCGTATATTTTTTTTCCTTCATTTTTACATTTATTGTCATTCGGCTTTGTGTCGCTGTCAAAATAACCTAGCGTCTTTATTATTCTTTTGACCATATCACAGGTTTCTTTGGATTTTAAAATAACTTGTATATTTTGTATATTATATAGAGGGGACTACAATTGTATGGTACAGCGACCTCGACTCGCATATACGTATATAACATAATACATTCGAAACTGCGCCGAATATTTACTATTTTTTTTTTTCCAGTAGCGCTTCAAATCGCACTACCCGTTGAGACCAATCAAGAAACAACCTGCAAGTGACATTCACGTTTGCGCGCGTCTAAATAACAATACAACTTAGTAATATAAATAAATTTATAGAGTTATATGGATTTAACTATATAGGGATTGGGCACGTACGCAAAAGGTGTTTTGGTTATACAAATGCCCTCCGAAATTTTCGATCGCTTTTTTTCTTGAAGTTCTATAAATGTATTATAACTTCTAGGTTATCAGAATAGAAGTGATTTTGTGGTTTTTTTATTGTACCCATTCACCTATATATTATAAGAAAAATATTTAATAATTGCATTATTAATTTTTTGATGAAACGTAGTATATGTATTATTGTTATTATGTTTACTGAAAAGAAATAGTTATCATTTTCAAAATCTGATTTACAGAAAATAATAATAACCCCTCCCTCTCCTAAACCGTTCCCTGATCTTGATAGACTTTAATTTAACACGTACAGCCATAAAATATGACGTGTATACCTACGTATGCTTGTCTTAAATAACCTGCAGTTGATACACGTCCTCCTAATTTTCTAAAATGATCTAGTGTGGCCAGTGTGGGTATAAATTTGATTTCAATCGTAAAATTATTTCAATTTTTTTAATCATATTCATTAATTTAATAGTATTTTGAATATATATTACTCATTTATAATAATAAGTATTGATAGTGATGTGCAAATTATTATAAAAGTGATTTGACATCATTACTAACAAAAAAACAGTCGAAGTCTGTATTAAAACGAAACGTTAAGTCATACTACTGCTTACGTAATAAATTTCAACGAAAATTATATTATTATTTTGAACTATAATAATTGTTTATTGTTTTCTAGTATATTATGGTGTATTTAAAGCAATACGGCCACTATTATAGAATCAATTTATCATTAAATAGTTAGTTTCTACGAACTTTGATTTTTTTTTATGAAAAAAAAAAATTAAAAACGCAAACTGCATACTTTACTTACTCCGAATTCCAATACCAATACGTTTTATTACACATATAATAATAGTTCACTTTTTAAATTATTTAAAGAAACCGTTGTGACCCGGTGATTCATGATTATTTAACATTAAAATTATGGTCTGCTGTTAAAACCCAAGGCCGTTTATTCGACGTAACGAAATAATAAACGTTATCTTGTCACATGAAATATCGATATTTTTCATCACGCTCTCAACAATATTGAATTCGCAGAGAACTCATAGTGGTTTACAAGCAATTCGCGGCGTCGAAGCTTCGGTTGTTCTATACAAGTCTATAATACATAATCTGGACTGCAACTAATGACTTGATACATTGGCAATTCGAAACGAAGGAGCTCATGAGACTCCTATAAAACAGCTATAAATGTAAACACCGAAATGTAATTCTATAAAATATTATTTCGATTCGATAACCAAATGACGAATATTCTCTATTTAAACGGATACAAAGGAAATATCGATCGATACCACATGGTTCCGAGTGTATATACGTAAATATACGTATTATAAACATGATGCAATCCGTGCCACGTAGTTTGAAAATCTAGGCCCTGTGTGCTGTCGGATCTATTTAATAAGTGGATACTGGGTACCTACGTGTGTAATACAAAAATATTGCGTGTGTATAGCGTTTTAATGGTTTTTATAATCTGCCGATAATACTATTTTTTTATTTGCGATAATATTCGCCTTTATCCGTTATAAATACGTCATTATCTTGAATAGTTGTGCTTAATTGTATTAACAGTTGAGTTCACGATTGAGAATACAATACCTACTATTATATGCGGTGAGTAAAAGATAATGCGGAAAAATTGATCAGCATTTTTTGGGAGTTGGCAAATTTTGGGAGACGACATGTTAACAAAAATTGTTACAATATTACATATTTTATGAAATTATCAATTATAAGATTATAATGTATGTAGAATAAATAACGGTGAACCGGTTTAATGTTTCTATAGCTGACCCGTAACACGAAAACAAATTCTGAGGATCTGGATGTATATTTCATGAATGAATATATTAATTTCCGAATTTATTTAAAAGGTTTACCAGAAAATATATAGACATATAATCAATATCAGATTTATGTAAGATCATGAGAAATAGTAGGGAATTTGTCTGACATTTATCCATTTATTCATAATGCATATAACTTATGGTTTTGTACTAACTTCCGGGACCAACCAGTCTAGCTAACATTTTTTAGGAGCATTGTATAACTTACGTGAACATTTTGTTATAAATTATTATTCATAGTGTATAATATGTTCGTGGAGATCATGAAAATTATATTTGCTGTGATAGCATGATAAAATTAAAAATATTACGAGTAGTAAGCATCCCTATACCAACTCAAATAACAAATACTTTATATCCAATAACCATATTATAGATTTAATAAACGTAAATCTTTTACCGTATTAAAATTATTTAGTGTAATATCAATTGCAAGTTTTACCTGCAAACGAGTATTTTCGAAATCTGTCTTATAATATAATTATTATATTATAAGACAACAATAATTATATGCAAACATATTGTGTATTATACAGTATGTACATTTAATTTTTAAATTTTAAACCAAGTTTTTTTTTAAATTTGTATGTAATGTTTTCTTGTTTTTATACATGACTGAATTTATATTTATTTCATATGGTTTTATAGAATTAAAAATTTTATTTTTAAATTCAAAAACATGATGACACATACAGACTCAACACATTAATGTCGTATGTACATTAAGCTTGATTTTATGTACTATGACCTATAAATATTCAAAGTTTTTAATTTACAATAAGAAAAAGTACTAAAAAAATATATATAAGTACTCTCTAAGTATTAATTCACAATTTTTTTCAGGCTTGACCATAAATTTAAGTTTGCACATACCTATGGTTGACTTACAATAAATACTTCAGTAGAAAACTCTTAGAATATTTTCAAAAGAGTTAAATTATATCTTAGATCAACCATGAATGACGGTCATTTAAATTATTTGACTCTACTAAACATTAAAACATACTTGACAACAGTATTATGATTTATAAGTTATGATAAAATAATATTGAATATTTTTCTAGAACATAAACTCATTGAAAATGTCTTATTTAACTTTAGTATTTATTTATATAGGTACTATTTGATAAAATAAAGTGTACTTAAATATTCAATATTAATACTTGTTATAACAGTGGCGAGAAGAAAATTGTACCCAGGACAGTAATATCCTAAATACACCGTACAATAGTGGATGGATTGCAGAATAATAAGTAATACGCAAAAAAGATGTAAAAAAGGCCTGTAGACGTACAAAAAATGTGTAGGACAGGAAAAATAAAAAACAGATTTAATCGATTGCAGTAATCATCACCCATATTGGCCATATTATACACCTACATATTATATTATTCAGTCGTACGATGACAATACGGAAACGAGGACCGTCAAACGAGAAGCAATTCTAGAACAATTTATACACCTAACATGTATAAAGGTATACCTATACTTCTAATATTATAACATTATAACAATAAACATGACGATATTCTAACTGCACTGTTCGCAGTGTTTCCGGTATCGTCGTGTTTCCGGTACGATAGGTTTGTCTGTACGGTGCAGTAATTGTACACCGCTGCAAGACGCGCTTAAATATTATTAATACACAATATAATGTCCAACTGTGACCATAGTATAGATACCTGTCTATAGTTTATAGTCTATACCACCTATCTATGCACTCGAGAGCTCCACCGCTACCGTCGCCGTCGTCATTGCAATAGCAGTCGTCGATGGCTCAACGACCTCTAATAGAATTCTGAGCAGCCCGACGCGAGTAGTTCTAGAAGTGCCGACAGAATACGTTATGCGCTATAAAGAATGCACGTCTACGCGCTATTGTAAATGACAATATAATATAAATTATAATAATATTCT